GGGCACGCATGATGCGATGTTCCGTGTGATCGAGGCGCTTTTCAGGAACTGTAACAATGGATATGCTACTGCGGGAGTGTTCTGTGACTTTTCAAAGGCTTTTGATTGCGTGAGTCACAGAACACTACTGGGGAAACTAGAAGCCTATGGTTTCCGAGGCATGGTTCTGGAATGGTTTCGGTCGTACCTTTTCCATCGCAGCCAGCGTGTCTCCACGGATGGCAAACTATCCTGAACAGAACATCACTTTTGGAGTCCCGCAAGGCTCAGTTCTTGGACCCATCCTATTTCTTCTATACATCAATGATCTCCTGTTCATCAATATATCTGGAGAATTTGCAGCGTTCGCGGACGATGCGACTGTGCTTTGGCACAACTTCGACCCTAACGAGCTGATCAGAATAATATCCCACGATCTAAACAGTGTCAAAATGTGGTGCGATGCAAATGGACTCCTTTTCAACTTCAACAAAACCCAAATACTAGCATTCCGATGTAACATCGAACGAATTGTATGTGACGAATTTTCCGTTAAAAGTTCGAAAAATACAAAGTTTCTTGGACTTAACTTGGATGTTGATCTTAAATTCCAATCACATATAATAGCTCTCAATAAAAAACTATTTTCAGGCTGCTACTGCATACGAACAATCTCATCTGCCCTGGGGTTCACCATAGCAAAATCAGTATATTTCGCTGTGATACAATCGCACCTAACTTATGGATTGCCATTTTGGGGATGTTGCAGCCAATATCTTTTTGAATCAGTGTTTAAACTACAAAAACGGGCAATCCGATTTATTGCTCGCGTTTCACCACGGGAACACTGTAGGCCACTATTTGTTAAGTATAGGATCCTCACTCTTCCATGTCTTTTTATTCTCGAGTCAGTAAGCCTTATTCATAAGAATATCTCTTGTTTTCCGGCACGCCAAACTACCCATCTGACGAGACAAAGTCATCATCTGTCGCTTCCTATTCCACATTCCTCTCTTGTACAGAACTCTATCATTTACAAGAGTGTAAAACTTTATAAGCAACTTTGAAAGATATCAGATATCACTCTATTTCGAAAAAAGTTAAAAATTATCTTACTTACCCAAGCATTCTATAATGTTAATGAATTTCTGGACTTGGTATTTTGAACCTAATAAATTTAACCAGCTTTTGCAGCCTAGAATTATCGTGGGCGGGGCAATCTGTCCTGGGTGTTTATTTTATTTTCCTATCAGAGCACTACTGTACTGTTTGTTCATGTTTTATCTTATTTCTTAATGTTTTTGTCAAGATCTGACCCCCTAGTTATTTAGTTATTATTGATTTTAATATTTTACAACAGTTTGTTCTTGTATTGTTTCTTCTCTGTGTGACTTATCACTTGTTTATAGTTTTTTTTCACTTATTTATTAACTGTTAAAATTTAAAAGTATGTATATGTATTTACTGTGACAAGCATTATACTTAGTTAGATGGTTTAGATTTTAGATTTTAGATTTAAGGATTAGCTTTGTCCATAATGATTATTGTATCTTTTGACAATAAAGCATGCTACTACTACTAAGCTGAACTAATCAAAATGTTTCGCTCTGGTGGGTTCACTCTACGAAAATGGTCCAGTAACAGAAATCAACTCCTACAAGCTCTGCCAGAGGAACTGAAGGATATAACTTCCGTAGAAATCACAGAAGATGAAACAAGAAAATCTCTTGGAATCCACTAGGCACCACATGACGATACCTTCCGTTTCAAAACTGAAGTAACAGAAAATACCAAAATATATCCTTTCCGAGGCCCGCTAAATTGTTTGATCCACTTGGCTGGCTAGCTCCAGTGATCATAAACGCAAAACTTCTCATCCAGGAATTATGGTTACAAGAATTCAGATGGGACGATCCTGTACCTGAACACATACAACCCAAATGGAAGAAGTTTCAAGCCGAACTAAAAAATATCGAACAATTAATTAATGGACACATCAATCCAAATAAAGCAACATTGAGATATATGGATTTTGCGATGCACCAGAGAAAGCATACGGTGCAGTCATCTAGATGAAACTTACAAATCCACGAAATGAATGCCACGTCACTCTCTTAACTGCTTAATCCAAAATTGTTCCACCATGGATGAAGGCAACTCTACCACGACTTGTGCTGCAGTTCTGTTGTCAAAACGAAGAAAAGTCGAAGAAATGGCAACCACGCTGTTACACATTGTCAAAATGGAACAGCAATGTTGCTTCGAAAAATAAATCAAAACGCTACAGAAGAAAAATCAACTACAAACAAAGAGCAAAATTCTGAGTCTCAACCCGTTTCTAGACAATGATGGAGTTTTGAGAGTAAGTGGTCGACTTCAGCACTCACAACTACCATACAGTAACAAACATCCCATGATTTTGACGTATCGAAGTCACCTGGCAAGGTGCGTAGTCACAGATGCCCATCTCACCACTCTACATGGTGGGAATCAGCTAACATTAGCTTACACCAGAAAACAATTTTGGATCATAAATGGAAAAAATGCAATGAAAAATACAATCAAGCATTGTATTAGATGTATCCGATTTAAGGCCCAAACAGCAGAGCAACAAACGGAAACCGTTTCAATTATCACCCATCTCTCAATTATTGATTAAACGAATCCTATCTTAGAAGAAATTAAATTTCCATAAATCACAATAAATTTTAGTTCGATAATGAATCGGTAATCCACTTACCACCTTATTAGCTGAAATTTTCATGGGCTTGTTGGAAAATTGAATTAGTAACCACCCTATCTTCAAACATTTTCTTTACTGTTTAGACGGCAATTCAAATTGCTCTATTGAAACCGACGTCAACTTTCCACCTTTACATTCACATTCTAATATTGAATTCAATATATCACAAACCATCCCAATACTGATCCACAATTCTTCATACTATGATCCATAGATTACTTTTTATTTGTATCGTATATAGGTCAGTATCCAAGTGAATCGAAATATAGTGAAACAAATGTAAAAATCAAATTGGTACGTGCAGTTTATTAATTTATAGAGCATATTCATATTCGTTCCTCAACCGAAGTACAACAAAGGACGCGTTGCATCGAAAAGCCGTCATGGTTTCCGTTAGTAAATCACGTACGACAGAGCAAAAACAACGGCGCAAACATCGTTCACCCTTTTTGAAGTAATTGCAAATTTCGAGCGAATATATGTGAAAATATATGTTCGAGTTTCTGTGGCAGCTATATGAGTACTTCTATAGGAAAAAGAAGCTTGAAGCGAGCTTACTGTAAATGCGTATTTGTTCGTGCAATACATTTTATTTTGTACGTGTACTTATATTTATTTGGCTGATGAAATTTCTTTGTAAACAGAGTAAGTTTCGGACAGACAAGCGTGGAGCAAATACGGATGCTGTCCGGAAATGCTGCACGGACGGTATCAGTTTGTTCAATATTTAGGTTCCTTGGAAATACGTGGAAATTTAATAATTTTAAATTTAATTAAGGCACGAGTCTTAATGCTTCGCAGTTTTGATATTTTCCAGGAAATGTTTTCGTAATTTGTTTGTTTTAGTTTTTTCCACTTGGATTAATTACTTATAAGAAAAACTTAACTGTGACAGTAGTGGGCGACAGTGCTGTCGCAACAGCCCTAGTTGTATCTCCTGGATTTCGAATTAACAGTGGAAAAATGTGAAAATATTTCATAAATAGATAAATACTGCCAGTTGCTATTTTTACGCAGTTTACACGTTTATTATATTTTTAAGTCTAGAAAGATGTTTTTGGGTAGTTTGTATATTTTAAAAATCAAAATTCACGATACAGATGTAGACGAGATTTTTTGGGTTCAAGCTTGCAGCCTATCATAGTTATTCATCAAGTAAACAGCAGAAAAGTTTACCTGAAGAAAACCAAATTTGAAAATAATAAGAATTGTTGGTTAAAAGGCAATTGCTCACGTCACGAAACAAGAAAACATTTCGTTTCAATAATGAAGAAAATTATTAAGAGATATAATGTCTATCTTGAAACTCTCTTCTGAACTTTGTATCGGCAAAATCATCCGTCAAAATTGTAAATTTGACTGATAACGTCAATAAACATAATTAAACAACAAATTAGTACCTTAATGCAATATTCGAGCCACAACTTCTCGGTAATGCATTAACGCTTCTATGGATTCCAATAATTAAGTTATTCGATTTCCTACGAGAAATTCCTGCATTCCTCTGTAGCAGCAACTATTAGTTCTTGTGCATATTTGCATAACTTGGTGAATTATTCTGGTCGAACAGCTCTTGGTACGTAAACCCATAACATTCGATGGGGTTAAAAAGTCAGACTATTAGGTACCAATAGTAAATTAAGTTAAGCGAGAAAGGTTCAATTTAACGGTCACACATCAAAATCCTGTTGGATTACGGCAAACATCTACTTACATCGTGAATGTCTATCCGTGATTGAGCGACAACATCGCTTAGAAATGGAAAAAGTTCTTATGAGTTTTTGATTTGCAACCCAGTGTAGCTACCTTGCAAGGAAACTATTTCAATTATCACGCATCTCAATAAAATGAATCCGGTCTTACAAGAAAATTTAAACATTTGTATTGATACATCAAAATAGTTCAATAACGAATTCTATTCAGGAAGCTATGGACTAATTATGGTTAATCCACTCAGTCCCTTATTAGGTGAAATTTTCATGGAAAATTCAATTACTAACCACTCTCTCTTTAAACATTTTCTCTACTAGCATAGATACATAGACGACATTTCAACTTTCCATTTTTTTAAACTTTAGAAATAATTTCCATTCTAATTTTAAATTCAATATGATCATAAACCATCTCATACTGATCCACAATTCCTCAGGCTATGATGGGTCATAATTTTCTGACTCAAAAAGTCAGCCTATTAGGTAGCAATAATAAAGTAAGTAAAGCAATAAAGTTTCAATTAAAGGGTCAAAATAAAATCACAAATCAAAATCCATCTACTTACATCGTGAATGTCGATCCCATGATTGAGCGACCACATCGTTTGGAAATAGTCCTGCATGCGATTTTTCAACTCGTTCGGAATTTGATGGAGAGTGAAAAAGTCCTTCAGGTCTCTCCATTTAGTATGGTAAAGGGAACGTCTCGAGTACATTCGCTGAATAATGGCGGTTACATTACCGAAGACGACGGCGTGCATCAGAGCTGAAAACGAAAAAATAAAATTATATTTTCATGTGCCTACTCACCAAAGAAGGATAGCTTTTTGTAATGGAAAAATAAATTTGGCTTTAGACGAATGATTGTCTGTTTCTTTTTGATGTAAGTCTCAACGAACATGAAATAAAATATTGCAAAAAGTGACTCTTCATCTTGATTGCATTGGGAGACAGACACGTTAGGTATATTTATACGTTTGAGTCGGGTTATGTGGATGGTGAAATATTGGTTTAATGATAAACAGAGAAATAAGAAAATCTCAACGGGATTTCGTATGAGGAAGTATATCTGCACCAGAGACAGACAACATACAATAACTCACACTAATTCAAGTTCAGTGTTAGTCAAGAGTATTAATCCTGCGAATTATTTTTCAAAATGTAATTTAATTAATTTATTATTAATTTAATTCTGAAGTAGGTATAGCGTCCTTCTTGATATATTAGTAGTTAAGTTCGCAGGTTTAGAACAAATAAAACTCCAGCTTTCTCTTTTAAAAAACTGCCGACGTTTCGACTTTAATTTAAGTCATTATCAAGACTGAAACAACAGCGACAGCATATAGGAAAATGTTGAAGAACAGATACATCAATACTAAAAGATTGCTTTTCGAATAAATAGTTAATAGGCTTACCTATTTTTTCCTAAGAAAGGGAGTGTGTCATTATACAACTACATATATAAATTTTTCATTGGCCACCACATACTGGGACATGTTGCAGACTCAAAATTAATCAAAAACACACAAAAAAATGTAGGTTTTCTATACGAGTGCAGTATATTTCTATTGACATTGGTAATTATGAACTTGGATTCAAGATAATCCACGAAGATGTCAGCTAGAAAAGGCGAGAGGCAGCTACACATGGCCAGGCCCTAAGGTTGCTGATAGAATTTATTTTTGAACACAAAAAAGGCCAGTCCCTCGCCCTCTCTATATTTATTTGATTTTCAAATGGTATCTTTTCTAGATAGAATTCTTCAGCTCACTGCCATGATATCAAGTAGTTAGCTTTTGTAATATATGTAACTATTTATTAGTAGGGTTAAATAATACAGTAGTAGTATATTCCCATTTGTTTCAAAATAATAATTGAAATTTATCAACTAACGAAAACATTCATTCTATTCACATTTTAATAAGCTTCAGCTATGTTTTAATTTAAATATCTTAAAATGCCATACCTGATGGCATTTAGTAAAAAAAATCTGACAGATAAACTTCCGGTTCGTGATGTTTATCATCAATTATGGCTCAGCTCTTAAGCAGCCCGAGCTTTTATAAATTATTCATGGATTTTCATCATTAGTTTAGCAGTTTATAATGAATGGCAAACTGCGCGATGTTTTTTTCGAGAAACTGAATTTAAGTCCACTTCAATTAAAATTATTTACATCAATGCCTAGGCAACTTAACTGCAATCGCGATTATGACTCGCACTATTTTCCACTGAGCCGAAAGAGTTACGACCGTGAAATAATCTAATGGGTCAATTTAGCGACCTTAATGAAGGTCTCCGCTTTAATAGAGTTGTCGGATAAATCAGCCGCAAGCTAAGAGATATGACATGTTTATGGCGTTTAGGCAAAGGATTTAGCGCATTCAACTGTAATTATTATAGATTCATAGAGACAAAACAAGGTTGAATTCCGAATTCTATCACCTACCTTTATAAATTTAGTTTTTTTTCTTGTGTGGTTAACATGGCAAAAAATAAAAATATGTAAGCTAGAGCATAGTGTTCATCATTTTTCGTAAGGACATGGTAGCATCATGATTGCGTTTTTTATTGAAGTGAAACTTCTTAAGCTGCGGTCTGATATTTGTACGAGAATATATCCAATACACAGTTCCAGCTATCCCCGTCTCTTTTATCTGCGGTCTTTCATCTTCCAGTGCGCTAAGTCCAAAGTCTTAGTTGCTCGAAGGGGGAATGGTTTAGGAAACATTGTACAATCGAGAGAGAGCCACGTATTCACTGAATACTAGGCAATAGAAGAGAATAGAGTGTGGCGTGCATACGCGCAGTACAACTCTGATGCCACGGGATTGGAGCAAGAGAGAGCACACACGCAATACGAAGCAATAGAAGTTTCGCTTCTACCACGTGTATGGCGCTGCCACAGCCTCCTACACTTACAAGCCATGAAGTTGGAAATGACGGCAACGTCGCGTATGGTGCTATTTTGTTATCGAGGTTATTGTTTCTGTGTATTGCGTTCATTGTGTATTGTTGCAGTTTAGTATTTTTGTGGGCATTATTGACGAAAAAGTGGATAGAAACACACCGATATATTGCCCATATTTAGTTAATACCTGTTCCTTTGCGCTTTGATTGCAAATTTTCAGCAAATGAGTACAGGAGCAAAAATTAAGGTAAGGTAAGGTAAAACAATATAATATTTGTGAGCAAGAGCATAGGTCTCCATATATTACCTAAGATATTTAAACTTGTTCCAGATGCCATGAAACTACTATGTTCCTGGGTGCAAATCGAACTAGGAGTTCCTTAAAAACTGAAGAAATGCAAACATTTATTTCCAAGAAAATTCTGAATTGTAGAAGTTGTGGATGAAAGCAATACACCAAGATAATTATACCCGAGATTAAACCATAACGAAAAATTCTGTGGTATGTTGTGAACATTTTGAAGAAACCGAAATAATTAGATTTGAAACAAACAAGAATAAAGGAGTATTCCAGAGTTCAAACTAAAACGTCCAACTCTTAAAAGTACCTCTTATTTTGGGAAATCAGCTCAAGTATTTGAATAAACCTGCCTTCCGAAAAAATCCCGAAGAAAGAAAAAGTTAGATTTTCAAAAGACATACTGAAACTGTCGAAAATTATCCAACTATATGGAAGTTATATTTCTCTTACATAACACTATAGAATCTAGAAATATATTCATTTAAATCAATTCCTATTTACACAAATAGTTATATTATTTATTGAATTACTGTTTTTGACCCTTTAGTACAATAAATGATGCATTTTTTGTCATTCTTATTAACAAAATAGAAAATATATACTTATAAAAACAAACAGCACCAGCACCACTTGGCGGTAAGATTGCGGTGTTGCCTTTTTAACTTCATGGCTTGTTAAGTGTAGGAGGCTGTGGCGCTGCACATGCTTTTTTTCGGATTTGGCCTTGCGCTTGATGGATTTTCTTTTTCAAGTGCACGACCTTCATTCAGGATTTTTGTACCTACATTAAATCCTAATTTAAACATCATTATTACTGCGTTTAAGTAAATATCTAGCTAACTAGAAAAAGTAAAATTAGGTTTCATAAACTGAAAGTTCGTATATTACAGCTTTGAAGCGAAAGCAAACAGGATTATATTTCACTTTTAACTCATCTAATTTTCCCCTTTATAGAAGAAAAACAATCCGCGCATAAAGAATATTTATTGTAGTATAAAACTTTTGATAACCGAAAAGAGGGAAGAAAACAGGAAAGCAGCTTTAGGAGTAAACCACGGAACAAAGTAATGAACCTTCCTTAGAAGATATTAAATGTGGTATTCTCACCTAATATTTTCCTTGTTAAATTTACGTGGAACTTAATGAAACGCTTCTTTCGAATTAAGTTATTTAAAATACGAACCACCAATTAAATACAAAGTGCTTGTCACATCAAATGTTCATCAAATCAAATAACGACCCTAATTATTATAGCCAACCGACAGCCAATGCTCGAAAACTAAAGCCAATATTAGCATCTCTCCAAGTTACAATGCATAAGTAAATGTTTGGATTTGTACGGAAGGATAATGTGCAAAGTGTAATTAAGTTATATGGGATTTCATTAGCCTGATAGTAATGAAAAGACTTTCTAGACTAATAAATATGTGCTGATTCAAAATAAAAACACTTCTTTAGAGGGAAAACACGAACGAAGCTCGAATTCATAAGTAGCTGCAAATGTATTTAACCTACGACTGTAAAATGTAAAAAGCACTACACTATATATGTTGAATTTTATACAAAAACGAGCGTAATCGTAGAAAAATCGCATGGGCACATACCAATCACTAACCGATTCGGGCTTCACCTGCTTTGGATACGGCGATGATATTGTCATCATGACCAGAGGCAAATATGAAGGAGTACCTTATAGAAGAAGCACTTTGAACCACGGAGGAATGATATCAGATAGTGGGGTGAATCTAAGCTCAGCAAAAACTACACTGGTAACATGTACAAAAAGAACGAAACTCCTAAACCTGAGAAACATTAAAGTCACAGGTATCACATAAAGAATACAAAACAAGTTTAGAAAGTCAGCTCAAAGACAAAAAGAGTTTCTTGAGATATGTAAATTCAAAAAAAGTAAACTTTGAATATCCTCAGTGCATAAATCTTAATGGGAGGGAGAGTGATGATCCACAGGATATACTTAGTTGACATGTGCAATAGTCATTTTGCATCGGTGTACTCGGAATATGACAATTCTGAGGGTGTTTCTTTTGAATCGGAGAAGATGGTTGATATTGGGCAGCTTAAGATATCTTCACTCGATGTTTTTGACAGAATTTGCAAATTAAGTCTTCGTGTTGGGCCAGATGGCATACCTGTTGTTTTCCTAGAAGGGTACACGTTTGTTCTGTCTCAAATTTTGTGTGATATTTTTAATTTGTCATTCTCTACTGATACTTATTTAGCAGCCTGGAAAAAATCCTATGTTACTCCAGTCTTTAAAAATGGAGACAAATCAGACATTGAAAATTATCGCGAAATATCAAAGGTCTCCTTGGTAGCCAAAGTTTTTGAATGTATTGTTGCAGATAAAATCACTTTGTAAGAATGTCATTATCAATGGACAACATGGTTTCGTGAAGGGAAGATCGACCATAACAAATCTTTTAACTTATAAGCAGGCTTTGTTGGAAGCTTTTGGGAATAGATATCGAGTTGATACAATTTATACTGATTTCTCGAAGGCTTTCGATAAAGTTGATCATAACATTCTCTTTAAAAAGCTGGAGGCTGTTGGTGTACATGGCATTTTAATTCGGTGTTTTCAGAATAATCCAACAGGCGGAAAGCAATCTGTCAAAATGAACAATAATATCTCCTCAGAAGTGGAAGTTACTTCTGGTGTTGCCCAGGGTGGACACCTGCCTACACTTCTTTTTAATTGTTTTTGTTGAACATGTATTTAAATCTAGTATGTTTCTTGTATTTGCTGATGATTTGAAAATTCCACTGAAGATTGTATTTTGTTGCAGGAAGATTTGAATAGATTTTCTGCTTGGTGTGAATTGAACAATATGATTTTAAACATTCGAAATTGTAGTGTTATCTCATTCAGTGGATCTAGGTGCCCTATTGTTTTCGCTTATACACTTAATTGATTAGGGTAGGAGAGAAAAACTCTAGTTAAGGACCTTGGCACCTGGCTAGACAGCGAGTTAACCTTTTCAAAACATATAGATATAATACCAAATAGAGCAATGAGGTTACTGGGGTTTGTGTTTAGTACTCTTCAAGGTTTTAATAATGTTTCTATAATAGAACATGTTTATTGTTCTCTGGTTCGATCTAAGTATCCTAGAGTATGGAAGTACTGTGTGGCACCATATTATGCTGTATATTAGGAAAAACTAGAGAGAGCACGAAATAAATTTCTCAAAAAAATAGGATTTACATTAAATATCCTTCTTAAAATGTTAATTGTGAAGAAATTAGAAAATTGTTGAACTTATCATCTTTGGAGAGTAGGAGAAACTTTTTTGACATCTGCTTGCTGTATAAAATCTCAAATAATATTATGGAGACCCCTGAATTACTTGCAGATATTGGTCCACACATATCTCGTATTAATTCAAAAAATAGTCACCTTTTTTGTATTGATTTTCACCGAACAAACTACGGTCGGAACTCACCCATATCAAGACTGTGTAAATTGACAAATGATGTGATAAAAAAATGATAATATTGATATTTTCAATGATAGCTTTAACCAATTTAGATCTAAAGTTGAAAACACAGACAGGATTTTGAACTGTTTTAAATTGTTTGTTCTTGTTTTTGTTCAATTTTGTAGCTATTACCTTTTAATCCGTCATCTTTTTACATCTTTTGTAAATAAAATTTTGATTTTGATGTCTGACAGCAAAGAAGCTATCAAAGCATTGAGCTCCCCGGTCATCAATTCCAAGATAGTAGGAGATTATCCACAGAAACAACTCAATGAACTGAGAAAAGAAAACAAAGTTACCCCCCTCCTCTGGGTGCCTGGACACAGAGGGATCGAGGGAAACGAATTTGCAGATAAACTCGCAAGAGAAAGAAGAAATCCTTAAAAAGGTAGAGAACCGGCTAAGGAATAAACAGTGGCTAGAAAAGCCAGGACTATGACAGGCCAAAGATCTATTGGGCAACTTCAACGAAAAAAGATCAGAACTGCTGATCAACCTTAGCAAGAAAAGTCTCAAGACTCCAACTGGGTTTCTCTCGGGACATTGCAGGCTAAAGAAACACCTACAGAAATTGGGGTTAGAAGAAGGTGGCACCTGCAGATTCTCTGTGAAAACGGAGCAGAGACAACTCACCAGCTTCTACTGAACTGCGATGCCGTCGCCAGTTGCTTATGGATGAAGAACCTGCTGTCCCCTTATACAGTTATACAGGAAGACATTTCAGCCCTGGAACCGCTAGATATATCCTAAAGGACCTAGGACTAGGCTGTCCGAGGCTAGGTGTGCCAACAATGTGGAAGAGTGTGCGTCTCCAGAATTGGCGGTTCATATAGCCATCAGATAATGCACAATCGACGACAATAAGAATACAATAAAAGATAATCATACTCGGTATCGAGTGTTCGCCTATAATGACTTTATGTTCGTATAAGTTTCACCAAAAAAGTTTTGAAAACTCTTTGCTTGGTTCCTCACACGACGAAGTTATATCACAACTCCTATGGGGACAGTTAAAAGTTAAAACTTACCTCCAATAAGCATAACACAAATGCTGAAGATTTTCTCGTTGGTGGTGTTGGCGCTAACATTTCCGAATCCGACGCTGGTCAAGCTTGAGCAAGTGAAGTAGAGGGCGGTCACGTAGGCGTTTGTGTTCGATATATTCTTGACGTCACTAATCTTAAGTCTATCAGCTAAAGCTCTTATCCATCCTGAAAAAAAAAGACTAAATTAGCGCATGTGTAACGTTACATGGTTAGCGGTTGAGTATTTTATATTAAATTTTATTCATTTGACTTTCGACAGCTTTTGGATCAGTATACTTAATTGAAACTCCTTTTTTTCATCAAGTATGTATATCCCAATTAGTTCAGGCTAATAAATAATTTGTCTTTATTTTGTGAAGATATTTTAACTGCTACCTTTGCAAATCCTTATATTTTTTTTTTGTTATTTAGTTACCTTTTGTTGATGGATCGGCCACATTTATAACATAATTTGAATATGTTAATGTGAGAATAATCTAATCAAGTTGCGCAAAATAATTTTGTAAACAATAATAATTCTATCGCGTATCTACGCATTATCTAGTTGATTATTTTATCCATCAGTTAGGGAGTTGTGTTTTGTATAATATTTGAGCAAGATTAAACGTTTTCAAATTTCATTCTCTTCTATTTCGAAATTATGTATTATTTTTAACGCCCACCCCACAGTTAAGCGGATTTGAAAATGTATTGCTTTTTATTCAGCCCATTTTATATATGATTAATTAACTAATATTATTTCTACCGGTTATTTTGAAACGTAATATTTGTAAAAATTACCATGCGGTGTTGCCGGACTTTGCACAAAGGTTGAATAAGCACGAAAGGAAATTAAGGGCTATCTTTATATACCATCTCAAATCTTGAAAGATGACTTTTCTTCTAAGATATTTTTATTATACGAAATTAAAAATCTGCGTTGATATTAAATCGTCCACCCACTAACATAATTTAATTTCTGATAGGTTTTTTCCATTTTTGATTGGTGGAGATTCTGACGTCATATTCGGTGAGCGTTTGGGAGTTTGAAATTCTGCCTCAGAAGTAGGAACTTATAATGAATTGACAACAACTCGAATGTTCCCCAAAATAGAGCCAATACTTATATTATGTACCTACTCAATTTGAGTTCTAGAAGTTTTATTATTAGCCTTCGATGCGGTATTATCGATTTGAGTCAAGCCTTGAAACTAAAAACGGGAAAAAGGGCCCAGCGGATATAATAAACCTTGGCGATTAAAAGTGAATGGCTAGCACTGAACCAGCTGCTGGCCTTTTTATTGCATTAAGCTATTAATACAAGAATCGACTTTATTTTGCTGATCGTCACTTTCAGCTGAGAAATACTCATTTTATAAGGTATCTAGTTATACAAACAGTAAAGGGTATTCGTTATTTATTGCTTAATAATATTTTACAAATTTAAAAATCTGCATCATCATTTCTACATTATTAAAATTTATTAAAAGAGGTAACAAAAGCAGAAACTTAGCAAACATAAATAAACTCCACTCAAACTAACTCTTTGAGGAGCTCGAAGCATCAATCCTAAGAACGCATTGTTAGTAAGTCATTATTCTTGCTTGGTATTGAAAATACCATGAATAAATCAAACCGAATAGCATACGGATTGTCCAACAGAGACAAAAGTTATCATAATAATGTAAAAAAACATTGAACAACTTGAATCAGCGAAAAGCAAACTCTGTTATTTGATATCGAACATTTTCAGTACCTACCTAATTTGATAAAGTTGAAGCTAAGAATATTTCTTTCTCTTTTCACTTAAATGATAAATAATATGTTAAATTTGTGCAGGATTTTTGAAGCACTTATCTCCATAACCCTCTTATTGATGCCCCAGTCTGCAATTCTATATCCGTTCGTTCTTTATCAAAACAGGCAAGATTTCCTTTGAACTTTCCGAATGCTTGTTGTTCTGCGAAGCCAAACTTGGAAGGAGTATTCTGTTTCAATAGCAATTAACGAATAAAACGGTATACATTTATTTTCCAGAATATAGAGTCGAACAAAAAGAAACTTAGAATTTGTTTCGTTTTCTTTCGAACACGAAAGCTTGTCAATATTCTTAAGAAAATTTCACTTCGTCGACCATAATTTTGTATTCCATTCAGCAAAATCTTCAATTTATTTGATGCTTGACACAGTCAGAGAATCACACAAACCAAAAAGAAGGATTAAAAACTAGAATTGTCCTTGATGTAGTAACATTTTTGCTAGAATCTTCTAAAAGAACTAGATTAAAGTTGACATTGAGATTTACTTTTCGCAACGTACATATAGGACTGAAATACAGGAGATGTTAAACGAAATGAAAATCTAAATTGTGGATCTCGCTTACCTAACTTTACTATACGGTTTCAACAAAATAGTTTTAAAAACTTTATATGGACTTGAACAGTGCCAGCTCCGAGGCCTGCGGCTACTGACAAAAGGGTTTATGGGTCTAGAACACATTAGGTCCCTAAAAACGGACAATTTTTCTATATTCAAATTTGCATTGGAGCAATTATTAGGACACAATGAAGAAAAAAAAAAATGGATGAGTTCATTTTTAACAATAAACAATATATTATTTAAATATACAGGGTGTCCTAAAAAGATACCGACAAACTTTGAAGGGTAGTAAGGGACATCAAAACAAAAAACAAGCATTTTTGTTTATATAAACATATGTCCGCAAATGAGCCATTTGGGCTGTAGAGCAAAAAAATTGTTTGGTACTTTTATTCTTCGCAATAATTAAATCAGTGTTTACTTATTAATTTTGCTTATTTATTAACAAATAAATTATGGTTTACAATAATTGTTCAAAATGTTGACCATTTACTTGAATGCAAAGATTGCACCGTCAGGTCATTAATAGACAACTACTATTAAGTTAATTTTCAAATGTCAGTAAAAAACCAGTAAAAAATCAATGAAATCAGTAAAAAACCCCAAAAAAACCCTTTCCATAAACATTAAATATTGTAAATATTTACCAAGGTGGTATGCTGATTTTGCCATAAAATAGAAATCTATTAAAGTAAACAAATTAAATGAACAAAAATAATAATAATTGTAAAAAATCACTAGTCACTAATGCCTTATATCCTCTCGCTTCTCAACCTTTGACACAGATCAATAAATAATATCTATTCTTATCAGCTTAATATCGCTATAGCTATCAAAGATGCACAATCAACAAAGAAAAAAATTAAATTAAAAAATTCATAACTTGATAAATATTCAAGGATCCATATTTTTTTTCTCGCTAACCATCTTGAAATTGCTTTGTTTATTAGTAATAATCAAAATCATATTGAAAATCAAAGGGGCCTAAAGTGATCTATCACCGGCTTTATTTGGGAATGTACCCGAGGCGCACCTATATACAGGGTGGCCCATCGAAAACGAAACGGCATTGATTTTGGGCATTTAATGTCATTTAAAAATAAAACGCTCAAACAAGTCAACTTTGTTTTTGAGGGGGACATTTATTAGGCGTATAAGCAAACCCTCATCTACAACCCCTGGGGCAGGGTGAAACTCACCCCTTAAATCTTAAATGGAAAGGGGGGTTGAATTGCACCTCGTTTGAAAGGTCTTTCGATTCTCTTTACTATGACACCAAGTTTATGACATAACATTTCACTATGAAGCTCAAAAATCAACTTTTATTTTTGTTATCAGGAGAAGTGATTTACAGTATTGAAGAGATAACAAACCTACACTTTACAACTAGATGTTGAAAAAGCTAAACTAAGATAAAAACTGTTTATTTTCCAAGGCAAGAAATCGAATTTGTGAAGTATTTGTTCCTTTTGTATTTTTTAAACAACTGAAATACATATTTCGTTTATCTACGTGTTGTAAATAAAGAAACAGACGCAAAACTACAAATGTATCGTGTTAGTTATTTTGTAGGTATTGAGCCAGTCGATAAATAGCGGTGGTAGCAATTCTTAATTATAACGGGGTTAGTAGTTTGTTATTTTTCGCGTAATTTTGTATTTGGTTAGTGCATAAAAATGGTTTACTCTATAGCAGAAAGAGTGGAGCTGATTTCAATATTCTTTGCAAATCATGAATCTGCATTCAGGACAGCTGACATTTATAATCAGCGGTATGAAATATTAGTTTTGTTTAATCACTAAACAATGTAGAGAAGGTTTATAAATAATTACGAGGCACACTATACGTAAATAGGTGTTCTTTAATAGTCAAATAGACAAGAGCAGTTATCAGAGATACATGCAGGTATAACATCACGGTTAAGACTGAAGTTACAGTGTTGTCAATTCAACTTATACAAAAGTACCTAGCTACATATAAATGATATATTACAAGCGGCATCCTGGCACACATATCAATCGAAAGTATGTCCTAGAATTGGTGCATAAATTTAGAGAAACTGGATCGGTATGTAACAAAAAGAGAGATATTGCAAATCCAGTAGTCAATGAAGCAGTGGAAGTAGCTGTTCTAGGTCATGTCACTCGAGATGCAACACTGAGTACGAAAAAGCTAGCTGCTGTCTCAGAGGTCAATCGAACTAGCATAAAACGAATTTTGAAAAAACACAAATTCCATCCCTACAAAATACGATTAGTCCAAGAGCTTAACGAAGACGACTTTGATAGACATCTGGAATTCTGCGAGACGATGGGCGCACTGGTAGATCAGGACCCACATTTGTTATTTTATGTCTGCTTTTCTGACGAATGTTCTTTCTTCGTCAATGGCACTGTAAACCGACACAATTGCCGTTACTGGGGGGATTCAAATCCTAGAATTTTTCATGAGACGCACACGCAGCATCCAGAAAAGTTGAACGTTTGGGCTGGCATATTCGGTGACCATGTAGTTGGCCCCTTCTTTTTACCTGATACATTAACTGGAGAAACGTATTTAGAACTATTAGAAACTGCAATCAATCCTGCTTTAACTGAAATATTGGAAAACGATGAACGCTATTTGGAAAATCGGCTTATGTTTCAGCGGGATGGCGCTCCTCCCCATTATGCACACCTTGTACGGGACTATTTAAACCAAGAATTTCCGGAAAGGTTGATTGGTAGGCGAGTGGCCTCCAAGGTCGCCAGATTTGACACCATTAGACTTCTTTTTGTGGGGACATTTGAAAAGTAAGATTTACGCCACTCAACCAACTTCGTTACAAGATTTACGGGAGCTAATTACAAATGAATGTCATCTCATAAGACCAGATATGCTGCTTCAAAATGTGAAAACCGTTTTGAACAGAGCCTGTACCACTGCATGGAAGTTGGTGGTCAGCACTTTCAACATCTACTTGATTAATACATGTAAGTTTGTTATTTTTTACCAATGTAAATCACTCCTAATAACAAACATAAAAGTTAATTTTTGAGCGTCATAATGAGATGTAATGTCATAAACTAGGTATCATTGTAAAGAGAATCGAAAGTCCTTTCAAACGAGGTGCAACTCAACCCCCCTTTCCATTTAAGATTTTAGGGGTGAGTTTCACCCTGCCCCAGGGGTTGTAGATGAGGGTTTACTTATACGCTTAATAAATGTCCCCCTCAAAAACAAAGTTGATGTGTTTGAGCGTTTTATTTTTATATGACATTAAATGCCCAAAATCAATGCCGGTTCGTTTTCGATGGGCCACCCTGTATATTCCGGAATAAATCATTTGGACCATTAAAAACGGAATATTACCATACACAGGAGTAGTTTTCCTAATAGTAAATTGTTATCTAATGCGCTTCGTGTAAACGACAGAGTCGAGTGATATTTACGGACTTTAGTAAATGCTTATTTACTGGATGTTTCGCTAGGCGATGGTGGTGCAACAAAGCCTATTGGAGCTAAATTTTTTATATTACCTTGCATTTTTCGGGACTCACAAATCTGCTTTTATCCATAATAAAGACAGGAGGGTATCTTGGATGAGATCTACACACAATAAAAAAAAGTTTTGCACCGCCCTGTAATGTAACTACAGAATAGTCATCGACAAATAAAAATCTTGTTATCTTCAACTATGGAATGTGAAAAGTACATTTACTAAAAAAGGTTAAGGAATCTGGAATTGTTCACCATTTTTTTATTGATAATTTTTTAATTTAGATATCACTGAATATGTAAAATGAGATGGTGCTAAACTTTTTTTGTTGTGTATATTTTCAGCAGGATGTTGCCCCACCTCATTCTTTAATAGCAAGGAAATCACTGTATATGACATTCGGGGAATGATGGATAAGAAGAGCTGGTCCTAGAATGGACACCTTACTCTCCTGACCTGGCAGTTCCAGACTTTTTTCTCTGTGGTTATGTCAAGGGATGGATGCTGTAATCCATTGCCAAATAGCCTGGAAGATCTGAAGCGGAACATTCATAATGTCATTAAAGAGATTCCCCAGGACATGTTACACAATTGATTCAACCATTTACTGATCCGACTCCATAAATGCGTGGAACAGAACGGCCGACATGTAGGTATATAGCAACTTTTATAGTTTTATGCAGTTTTCATTAACTTTTTATTAGACACACATAATTTGGAAGGTTTGTAAATATGCTAATAAAAAATGCGTTTACAAAAAATACAGGATTTCGATTTCAATTTTTTACGGCTAAAAAATCAAGTTCCAAGGAGGATGTTACATGATGTACATAAATCTCTTGAACATGACTATTTTTTTGATGTTGTGATATACGGTGTTCCAATAAAATAGTGGAGAATTTCGATGGTCAAAAATGGATTTTTTTTACTCGCCCTGTATAGGTGTGGAAAAAACTTGCAACCAACTGAAAAAACTTTAGGCCAAGAGAAATCGACATTCGCAAACTGCAGGTAGCTAGCACACCTGATTTAAAAGTTATAAGTATTCAAAACAGGCCACTATCGGCTTGGACACCCTGTATTGTTCTTGTATGTAGTTATCTTTACCAAACAAAACTACAACTTGCAAAACCATTCAATTCTCCAAAAAAAGTGTCAAAAAGATTGACGATAGAAGAAGTATAAACACGACAAAGGACCCTGTCCAAAATATACGGAAATTGTTTTTATGTCAGAATTGGCTGAATTTTGTATAGAATGTAGATCGCGCCTTTCTGATTAAAAGTTACCTACCATTGCAATAATTCTAAAAAAATTATTCAAAAAGGAGTCATTTTTCAGGATTGGTGCAATAGTAACTTTTAATCGGGAAGGCGTGATCTACATTATATAAATTCAGCCAATTTTGACATTAACACAATTTCCCTATACTTTGGGCAGGGTCCTTTGACAAGCAGATGTTATAACGAGCCAATTAAAACGATAAATAATTTGTACTTTGACCGAATAAATTCCAAACTAGGAACATGGGGATTGAATTAATTCGGTCAAAAAACACTTTTCAGCAGCCTCTATTGAACTCATGCTAACTACGAAACGAAAATTCGGCACCAACATTCGTTTGTGTAGTTTTCTGGTATTTTAAAATGTTGAAATACGTGAACTTTTAATGGTAGGTACTTTATATTCCTATAAAAAGCTTGGAATCGTCGAAACGACCCACGTGACGCTAAACTCGACCCACTGAAGCAAGAAAGTTCGAATTTTGCATAATTCATTTAAGCCCGCTTTTAGTAAAATGCGGAAGTTTTAAAAGTGGGGGTCGACTCATCACTTAAACAATAAAATGATAAGAACTGCTTATACCTACCTATAACAAGTAACTGTTCAATTTCCTATTCAATTATAAGCAAGTTTATGTAATTTTGTAATTAGTTATTTGAGAATATCAAAGTCGATGGGGCATTTTGCGAAAAGGGGGATAATAGTCCGTAATTGTTCGCTTGCCAATTTTAAATTGGCTGCATCGATTTTGTGAATGTCGCGATTTCTACGTTAGTTATCAAACTGCCTAGAGCGGATTTTTAAATTCACACCCTAAACGGGTTGAACCCTCTCTAAATAGTAAACTAGGGGCGAAGGTTCAGCAAGGCTCCCATTATTTCTGCACAGAGAATGATTAGACCCAGGTCCTTTCGGGGGGATAGAATACATAAATCCTGGAAAAGCGAGAATATATTTTATTTTTTGTAACTTGCCTTTTTTTCTAATACTATAAATTATCTACCTGCTTTGTTTTAAACACAATTCATATTCATTATTAGGTAGGTAGGTACTTCAATAAAAAAATAACATTATTGTAAAAAAAAATTTCGCTCAAAATTCAATCAGTTTGTTATATCTTAATTTTTACTTTATCAGCGGAGCTTTTTGCGCGACGCGACGAAGTAGGGCTGAAGTGCGAAAGGAAATTAGCCCTATTTAAAATCAGGACGTTATTTATTTGCCTAAAGCAGGAGTAGAATTTGGTGTTGGAAATTCCATTGTAAATTTCCTTTCGGAGGCCGCCGTGAAAGCTGGAAAAGGCGTCTCGCGTCTAATGGAATATGTACCTATTACGGCATGCAGAGACTCCATTTCTGGCAATTTTTTTTCGACAAAAGCAATTAAACATTTGTCATGGATCTTTGTTCCTTTGTGATGATAGAGCTGGCTCAATTCGTCAGAAACTGGAAAACATTTCCATCCAAGATAAACCCCTCTTACAAAAAAGAAGGTTCTGGAACAATTAAGGAGAACATTCGGCATATATTTTCCTGGTGGCTTTGTCTTGAAAATGTTCATTATCAGTTATTATGGAATTTTGTTTTCTCAATTGAGACGCAAATTGTTCCTTTACATAGAGGGTGTCCTTAGTTAAACGGACACATTTAGCAAGTGAATATCTCGAAGAATTTATTAAGTTTTTTTGATAAAAGGACCCTATTTAATAAATCCTGAAAGTTTGGAGTCCCTCTGATTGCTTGAAGTATTTCTCAGAAGCTTCCAAAGGTGATTTGATAGACATTTTTCAAGATTTTTTTGCATTTGCCAGTGAGAAAAAATTCAAAATTCCATTCCTGAGTTTGAGATCCATTCCCGGTTTTTTCTATTTGATAAAAAACCCTACTCAATAAATCCTGAAAGTTTGAAGTCCTTCTGATTGGGGTCTTGGAGCCTCTACCATAAAGCTGCGTTGCTTGTTCGATCACTGCTCCATGTTTACTGATAATCCGCACGCAGGCGCCGCAAGATGCCAGCGCTAACCCCTTCACAAAATTAAGTTATTAACAGAGCGCGTTCGCAAAGGAAAATTTACTCTGAGTCACCCGGTATTATATTTGCTCGCTCTTATACCAACACATGCTATGTGATATCATGATTTACATTTTCCTTCACAGTATCACCCATTATCTTTTTCCTGCACGTTATTCTGTTCACTAACTCCTATTATTTTAGACACTAAAAGCAAATGTTTCTTTTCAACTGAATAGGTATCACATTCAGTGGTCTGAGTGACCTAAATTGGTAAATAAAAAAAAAAACCTGCTAGAGGAGATGTTCACATATATAATATTAAGCAGAATTGTGATACATTTTAAACTAATTCAAAATACCTTAAGCTCATAATATTTTACAAAACTGAGACATAAATGTATTGCCTATTACCATCGTCTATTATTAAGGGATTAGCGATTTATGCTTTTGCGCGAATTACCCGTCGATAATTTTATGCTATGTTTTGTAATACATACAGGTTATTGCGGATTATAAAGTGCGCCGTGAAACCGTTTAAAGGGGGGAAAGCATGGCAATTATCAATATTTTCTCATAGACGTATCCAAAACATAATTTGTTGTTTCAAGTATCATCCTTAAAGCCTCAGACTTAAAATTCGAGAAACCAAATGAGTTCTTTCGTAAGGACATAAGGTAGGTAGTTATGTAAAACAATCAATTTTTTTAGAGGGAAATGTAAAATTTTTATGTATATCCTCAAAAATTAAAAAGGTAAGAATCCCCTTAAACTATTTCAAGGTCACATATTATATAACCAGTATAAAAGCGTGAATTATTAGTATTAGCGGATTATTCACTCACCTAAATCAGTCTCAACTTCTTCTTGCGCTATCACATACCAAATGCAGGCCAGCCAATGGGCGACCAACGTAAAGGAAAACATCAACAATGTCAAAATCATGGCGCTGTACTGGGAGTACCTGTCAATCTTTTGAAGGAGACGCAGTAGTCTCAAGAGCCTTGTCAACTTGATGAGATGAGTGTGCGACGGGCCAGACTGCAAGTAGAAAATATTCATTAATTTTCCAGAAGCTACCTACATAATATTATTCTCCAAGCTTTTTTGTTTTCATATACATTTTGACTTGCATAGAAATTTGGTGCCAGACTCTATTTCTATTTTAGGTTCTAATTACCAAACTCACCTCTTCTCCATAAAGAGCATAGAGCAGGTCAAAGGGTAGTGCTGCCAGTAAGTCGACAATGAACCAAGTCTTCAAGTAGTTGATTGAAATGGATCTCCAGTCAGAGACGACTTCGCCTTTCTTGTTCACGAAGGTTGTTCTAAAGTTCAATATTATGTCTGTAAAAGAAAAGTCATTATTTTGATTTAAATCCCATATACGTTAAACTTAGACAATTTTTTTCATTATTATATAAAAGTTTCAAAATAATTCAATTTAGAATAAAGCCTAGTAAGCCTACATAAATGAATAATCTCAGTAAAATAACGTTCTTTATCATTTTAATCAAATCGCGGAGAAAAAAACTCTTATTTCTTTTCGTTACCTATATGCCTTAGGTGCTTGCTTTTTATACTTTTCTAATTGTCTGCCTTCATTTTTTTAATAAACTCGCTTTTATTTTAATTTTTTCAAATTCAACTCTACAATCCTTGTGGGTGGGTGCGCATCTATGAATAATAAAACAAACAGCGGAATATTTACGAATATTGAACCATGATATTTTTTTTATATTTATTCATGTTTGTTCCTTTCTTGTCTATGTTGAAATATAGGTAGATATTAGGTAGGTATATTAGAATCTGCATAGATGATAATGATCGTGATGGTCTCGTGACATAATGTTGAAATTGATTTTCAGGATTTCGGACATACTGGAACGAAGAATTATTTCCCATCAATTCCCTGTTGCGAGCTTTTCCTAGGTCTCTCTCGTTTCCTGCTTTTATTTGAGTCCACTATGAGATTCGTTTGGGATAGGGGTCCCTTGTCACCCCAAGGGATGTAATGCCAAAAACTTCAGCCCCCCGACTGGCTAGGGCCTGACCCAGGTTTCCTCAAGCCGAAGGGGCTAGTCTATATGGGGAGAGACCAGTGGAATCAGTCTTGCACTGGGTCGATACCCAACGGTTTACCAGAGTGAGATCTACGCCATACAGGTGTGTGCTCAGGAGAATCTCCAGAGAGGTTGGTTGGTTGGTTTAAGGCGGGTCAGGCGTGCTCGTGTCCCGATTTCCAGTGCAGTGTGCTACTGTCTTGCTTAACCAACTTCCTTCCCTTTGGTGTTGGGAAGTCTCTTGCAGCGTTGTATTCCTCCAAATAAATTGCGAACCAGTGCTTCACATTCGTATATTATGTATAAGGCAGTTTCCTCCTTTTCACCACACAGGGCATGTTTGGGTTGACGCTCGGAGGAGCGAGCAAAGCGTTTACGGAGTGACGTGACGTCACATCACAGGGAGTACACCGTGTCAAGCCAAATAAACTCGTGCAAAAGTGCTGGGTTGAGCGATCAGCTGATTATTTTTTCGTGTTCTGCTGAAATTGTATTGTGATAAATAAACAGTAATGAACTTAAACACTCCTATCACTTGGGAAAATATGTTCAATAATACCAGTGGTGAAGACTACCGAGAAAATTTATTCAAAAGTAAACAATTAGGCAAAATATACCAGCTATTTGATTGTAAACATTTAAATAAAATAGCTAAAACTAAACATCTGATCTGCGCATGCACGCTCCAGCTGCCTACTCCACAAACTGGGAGTTTATCGAGCTCGATCGGAGCGTTCAAAATATGTCAAACCATACACAATCAAGCGTTGTCGGAGCTTCAAAAATACCAGAAGAGAGGAAAGTGCAAACTCTGAGTGCACAGAGCGTCAACCCAAACACGGCCACAGTCTACATGTCGTTGGGTCATTGTACTCTCATTTTCTGCATGTGCGCTTCAAGATGACAGTGTCCTGTGAGTCGTCCTACCACTCCTACCTACCACCCGTCTTATCTGAGTATGCGTTAGTGACAGTACTTCAGCTGTTAGCATTAAGGGGTTTCCAATTATCCCCTGCGAATATGACGCCCTCGTCAGTCACAGACTACGATACCTCGAGTATAGGTTTCTGGACCAGATGAAATAAAGCATGTCTGACCTGAGCAAGTCTGCACCTTTCCTGAGGTAAGACAGGGCGGTATCAAGAGAGCACAATGGGCCACATGCGTGTCTACGTGCTACCTGTAGTGGCTTCCCTTTCAAATCAATCTATCAATGGGATGTGTTTGAATTGATGGTAGGTACTGTTCATATCATGTATTGTCAAGCGTGAGTAATGACCAAATCAAATTACATTCATGGAATTAATTTTTCTCACAGTTGACGGAAAAATGTTTAAGATTTAATAGAACAAAATAATATTTGCTTTTTTACAAGCCAGAAATTTAATCAATTATTCGCGAAAAGCTGAGACTCTTGAAAGCTGACTCTGCTAAAAATGAAGTCGGAAAAGCTGATGAACAAATAATTCTTTCGAATTTATAATAATTTTTTTCCAGATTTTAAAGTAGAGATAAGCAAGGATTGATTTTCTTACACGTTAACTTTTGAATGTGGAGCCGCTGAGATAATTTGGCAAGCTCGAAGTACTTAAGAAAATGAAATAAAAAGGAGAGAATAATAAATTTGAAAAAAATATATTCAATTTAGCGCAAAGGGTTAAATTTATTGGAACAAAATATGCAGAAGCTGAATGTAGGGGAAGCGAAGTTAATGAAAACAGCACAAATCAACGGGAACATCTACGTAAACAATGAACCCGTTGGAGTATAAATATTTAGGCATTTTAATGAATTTCTAAAATTGCTTTGAAGAAATGAGTCAGCCTCACCTCCAGCTATTAATTTTTTTGAAATCTCGCGATCGTACCAAAAAAAAAGGAATATGAATAATAAATTAATGAGCAACAAAAAAATCTCATGAATTAAATTATCAAATCACCTTGATTGATATTTACTCCAATTTTGCTTGAGAAACGACCAGATATGCGGTCGTTGATGAACTGGCGCGGTATTAAAGTGATCCAATTAAGCTCTAAGCTATAAATTAGAGCATCCGTTTACACTGGAGAGAAATCATTAGCCAGCCAAAATTTGTCGTCGGGAGATTGGAAGCCACCGCATTTTCTTGTCAAGTTTGCGTTTAGGGTTCATCGATTCTCGATTGGATTCGAATATTTAACGATGGTAAACTTTTGTACGTGTGCGTAAATGGAACACGCTTATACGTACTCAATGAGAAACTTAATCTGACTAAATCAGCATCCTCAAGAAAAAAGAAACTGTGTGCACATAGCGAGCTGCTAGTATTGTTACGATCAAAGTGCATTGACTTCGCTGGCTTTTTTTCTCGATCGTTCACTCCCATAACATTGAATTTCATTCTCGAAAATTCCAGGTATAATGTGACAGCCGCCTGTTTTACAGGGGTAACATAGGGGTTGTAACTTTGGGGGATGAAGGAGAGAAACTCGCTCGAGTAGTATAGAAAATAGATAGATATATATTTGCCCAATATGTAACTTACATATTATATCCCAACCCGATAGGATGCATGACTCTTCTAATGCTAAGGTCCTTATCGGAGGCCACACGTCAAGGCTGGCTAGGGGACTGTCGGTTTATTCACGACACAACTCTAGCTAGTGGTCCTTATGCCTTGTCCAGAAGAACTTTCCCAACTTAAGGTACCGGCGGTGAACAACAATAGGGCTGAGGATACCCAGAGTGGTTCTTCCAACTAGTATGTAGTAAAGGCACTGGGGAGACTTGATTCCAGACTTAGATTAGGGAAGAGAGTGGATACCGCGCATCCTATAGGCGCACTAATTCGATTCTGTTACCACGCGGTCATTGTTTATGTGGCAGACAAAGTGAATGCAGTGTTTGTTATTTTTCGTGTATTTTCCAGTGAAAATCAGCAGTGAATTGAGCAATAGTGAATTTTACGATGGTGAATTGTTCAACCTATGGATTTAAAAGTCGCAGCGAGAAAAAGGAAGCAGGATATTTTTGTATTAATAAAATCTGTTTGAAAAAATCCTGTCTTGTCATGTTTTATTTTATATATCAAATTGTCCTGAAAATAAATAAAAATGCAGAAAACTATTTAAATAGCACCTCATAAGGTATTTTTATTAATCTGTAAAATTAAATTTCTTATTATTAATACCTTAAAATAAAAATAAATCGAAAATTGATAATTATCGGCGATGTGGCAGGTAGTAACAAATGCCCTTGAGATATTACCCATCCACTCTCTTCCCTAATCCAAGAGTCCAGAGGAGCTTTCCCAACTAGAAGTATCGTTCAATTCTCCCCAGTGCTTATAACTCCAGTTGGGAAAGCCACTCTGGGTATTTTCAACCTTATCATTGTCCAGCGCCGGCAGCTCTAGTTAGGAAAGCTCCTCATGGAAAAGTCATAAGGGTCACTAGCTGCAGTGGTGTAGCGAATAAACCGACAGTCCTCCAAGCAGCATTGACGTGCAAGGATACTAGCATTAGAAGGGGCATTCATCCTATAGGGGTAGGATATATTGGCCCAATATATATCTATCTACTTGTTATGCTCTTGAGCAAATTTCTCTCCATTAACCCCCAAAGCTACAACCCACTATAAAACGGTTGTGACAATATATTAAGGTATACAGAGTGTTGCCAGATTTATGCATAGGGTCATTCAAAAGGACGAAAGTCGGGTTCTCTTAGGGCACAGGTGAATTTGAGTGAATGTCCATTGAAGAACGAATTCAAAAAATCGAATTCTACCTATTTATTGATATGAATTAGGTGGGTGTACCCGGGTGCCGGAAAATTCCATAATTGTCTTCCATTAAATAGATCGTGGATGGTTCGTTTTCAAATGGACACTCATGTTAGGTAAATATCTAGACTTAAATAAAAAGTTTACTTCAATTTTAAAATATATTCAACATAATAATATCATCAAGTTAATTGAAAGGCAAAGATAAAATCCGACTATGCCATTTTGTTCAGAACATTTCTCGTTTAGAGGGAGAGTATAAGGGCCCCTAAGAAGAATAAAAAGGTCATATTACAAACGTAATAATATGTAGCAAACCAATAATTTTCTCAAACCAGAACAGAATGATTGCTTATCGACCGCAACAATTGAAATAATATTCGGACAGAGATTAAAGCGAGCCAATCAAAACTTTCATGCTACTCTACTATCAAAACATAGAATAATTGCAATGTTTTCTTAATAAAGTTCTGTTTGATTTTGGAACCAAGGATTATTAGGTACACAAAATGGAAACTTTAT